AGTTTGGCGTGAAAATCCTGCTGAAGTTCCCATTTTCGACATTTCCGCTAATTCAGTAGTAAGCAAAGTCCTGCGGAAATTCTGCAAATTTGGCTTGTCCTGCGGAAGTTCTGGTTTTTGTCTGAGTAACGTCACTTTTCAGCTGTAGCGTACCTACTTCTTCCTCTTATTAGAGGAGGTTTAATTGATTACAGTCGGGTTTTGTACCAGTTCTCCTTTTCTTCAGCTACAACTTCTTCGAAGGATGCGCACGCGCTCAAGCTTGCACTCTTCTTCTACGCGGAGGTGCTGAACAATTTATCGCTGAGACGGAACGCTCTCTTCATGATGCCATCATGATCGTACGTCGTGCGAAGAAGAACGATTCTATCGTAGCTGGTGAGTCGTTACCTTCATATTTTTTAATGTTTTTACTTCTATTTACTTTTATCTCTTCTTCTTCACATTCTTTGGATATAATGGGAAAGTAAGTACTTTGCCATCTTAGGTGGTGGAGCCATTGAAATGGAGCTGTCACGTCATCTTCGTGCTAAGGCCAAAACCATTGCTGGAAAGGAGCAGTTCTTCTGGAGCGCTTATGCCCGAAGCTTTGAAGTGAGTTTTTTAGTTTGCTTGCGTTCATCGTAAAAATTGCGGATATAACAGATTATTCCACAACAACTTTGCTACAATGCTGGCATCGATGCAACGGATATTCTGAACAAGCTTCGTCATAGACATTCGATAGGTAAATTTTGTTTTTTGCAAGAGTTTTGTTCTTTTGAAATCTGTAAAAGCAAATTTGAGGCGAGGTTTGGGCTGGTGTTGATATTCACACAGAGGAAGTTGGCGACAACCTTGCAGCATGTATCTGGGAACCAAGCCTTGTGAAAAAGGTGCGTCTGTGCAGATTTTAATTTTCCTGTTTGTTTATCATAATAATTGCATTATTATATGTAAATCATCTGGAGCTTTTGGCTCATTTCAGAATGCCATTATCGCCGCTACTGAAGCTGTGTGCCTAGTTTTGT